CATGCATCTGCAATGCCAATGCAAAGAAGTCTCTGAATGTCTCCTGACTCTAACACTGAAATCTGGATTATCTTTGCTCTGTTCCTTATATCCTTGCCTCACCTTTATTTCCCCAATTTAACCATAATGGAAGTATGTAACCAGAACCATACCAGAAGTACTGTGAAATGGAAATCACTTGTTCTTCTAATACCAGCCTATTTAGTGGGATTAAGCTCAAGCATTCACTACTTGTACTAAAGCTCTCATGAACATTTCCAAGTTAATTCCAGCACTCTTGCATAAAGACCTATGATGGGATTTTAGCCTCAGGAAGCCTAGTAACTTAAACAAGATTATGCATAATGGAAGAGCAGAGGGAGCAGATAGAGGAGGGCAGGGGAACCCACAAAACAAACAAACAAAAACTACACCTCTGTTCCTCCATGACCTCAGTCTTTGCCTCCCATTACCAAGTCTCTGTTACTCTCTCTTCTTCAGCTTCCTCAAAACTCTACCTTTCTTAGCCACTTCTTTAGCTTTGTATCCTCTTCACCACCACCTCTATTTGACTGACTCAAGCAGCAATTACAGGTTCCTCAAAAGTAATACATTTATTAAGATGAATATCTACATAAAAGGTCTTTCCTTACCATTACATATGGGTAATGGGGTGTCCATTTTAGACATGAAACAGTACAGTCAGTAAAAACAAGCCCCAAAATATAGGCTTTACAGTGAAGAGTGTACTAGGAGTGCATCCAGAACAGAAAACACTCAGTTATGATAGTTTACCTGTTCCTAGCTGGTGACTTCCCTGCATCCTCCTGGACAGACCCAAGGCGTGCAGACAATGTAGTAGTTGAAGAGTCTGGGTGAATCAAACTGCAAGGAAAAGGAGCATGTTACAGATAATTGAGAAATTTGCCACACGAAGCAGCGTCAGAACAGCTGGAGTTAAAATACAGTTAATTATAACATTACCTCTCATTCACACCCATGATTGTTAAATCAGTAAGGAAATAGGGAAATCTTTCCCCATCTGTAGGTGAATGATATCTGGAGCACAGTGCTTGAGTCTTCTCCCTTCACAGTCAAGTCTTGGACAATACACCCTCTTCCCACTTCTCATCCTGCCTTCCTGACCTATTCCCCTATATCCCTTTCTTCCACAACCTCCTTCCTTACAGGCTGCTATTCCATGCTTTGGAGATAGAGGCATTGCCCCCATCTCCCCAACACATCATCTTTGCAATCCAAGCAATGTTATCTATAGCTATTGCTAGACAGCTTTTACCTAGATAGCCTAACAACCTTCTGGGATTGTTAAACCTGATCTCTATCACCGTTGACCCCCTACAGCCTTCCACCCCAGGAGGAAGCAGAGCAGATGTTTGTACACCATCAATATGAATTCCTATTAGCAAAACTGTATCAGATATAAATAAGCCCCTACACTCCAACTGATACAGCCATATTGGCTGTGCTCTGGAATGTAGACACAATAAATACTCTTCATGAGAAAATGTACACAATACACCTTTGCTCGAACAGCTGTACTTGCCCAGACTACACCACTTGTTCACTTTTAAAGGACCCTTCAAGTTAGTTAGTATGTTCCAACTCCTCAAAGAGCACAGCAATGTCAGACAAGTAAATACAGTATCACTCCCCTACATGCTTTTCTCACTGCTTTGCAGCATATGACAGCAGAAGCAAAAACCTTATCTCAGATACATTATTTTGGGAAGAGGCTCAACTCCCAAGTTTTCTTCTGAAGCAAACTACTTGTCACACAAGCCGCATATTAGAAAAAAAAAAAAACTTTGCTTCCATTATGAAGCTGTGAGTTGCCACTTTCCACTGTGCTGCCATTTAAGTTCAATGTCTTGAGTTTAAACCTCTGAAGATCAATCAGGAACATACCCACTGAAGTATTAAAAAAAGCATTGCAGCCCACTGCAAAGTCTTATATTTTAAGAGGGACAAGCACTGAAGAAAATTTTAATCCTCCTAAAGCAACAATAAACTCCACAAGCTCACTTAAAAGCAGCCCATGTTTACTCCGTGTCTCCCAATAAAACTAAGTGTTCTAGTATAGAAACCGGTATCAGCCTTTCAAGAATAGGCCATATTTTTCTCAAGTGCTACAAGCTGCCCAAAATAAAGATATACTTTCTTTACATGTTCATGCCTCAAGCTGTTGAATTGCCATAATGAAGATACTAAGAACACATAAGAAGACAGAATTAATGATACCTTCTATTATTTTGTACACCTGAAGAGAAGCACTCTGAGTGCACATACTTATTCCTTAATTCAAAATTTGGCAGTTTTTATCCCAAGCTTTGCAACATTACTGCTTTAGATGACCACGGCATTAAACCAGAAGCACTTTCCTTTACTTAGGCCTAAAGCGGATTATTTAATTGCTTCCATATAGGAGCACCATACTCTGAATAGCAACATGCAAAGCAAAACAGTAGTTTCTGTAGTTTTTCTTTCAATACTATCAGAACCATTAGAAAAGATGTGCTGAGAGAGGCATATGTTACTAACACTACCCCTCAGTTAAAGAAAGGCTCTGACTCAAGACCTCCTCAGTTTCACACCTGCCTGTTCTTCTGTTTTTAGGGAAATGAGCACAAACACCACATCTGATTATTTTTTCCTCTGCACATTAAATTAAATCAAGGTCCTCAGAAATTAACTTCCATACCACTTAAGAAATACAGTGTTCCTTTATCCATCTTCTGAAAAAAAGGATTCCCTCATTTGAGAGCAGTAAGAAGAAATATACTTTGAAAGGAGATCAGAGAACCTTTATAGCTGTCCTTTCAATTCCACTTCAGTTGAAACAGGCAGTTACTTCCACCATTTCTCTCTTATTTACAGACAGTATCTCCTATATTCTCTTGCCCAATCCAAAACCTAACAGGTGAAGCATCAGTGTTACACTGACTTGTCTCTCAACACATTAGTGGTTAGAAGGGATGGGGTTTTTTTGTCTTTTTAAACTCTGAAGCTAAAAGACTGCTTTGTCACTGGTATAGAATCACTGATTCAATTGGTTAAAGGAAGAACTGTCAAATAATTTACAACTCCACCAGAAAAGTTTCCACATTTCAACTTGAAGAGAAGAATATTAGAAGCAAGCACAAGACAATATTCTCTTTACAGGAGATATACTTCTAAGTTTGCTAGATGGAAACCACCAGTTTTTGTCTAAGCAGGTGTCAGCCTGAAAACACAGTTAAGATTCTGGAGCTCAGCATGAAGCCATTCACTTTACCTTTGCCAGGTCAGATCCTCCTCCAGGAAGATGTTGCGGCTAGCTTTACGGCTCCCAACTGGTGTGCGTGGCTCCCCAGGATCCAGCACTGATACAGAACATGCAGAATCTGACAGAGCATTTAAGTCTTCTCCAATGGAGTTACTGTCTGTGGAGTGTGCATAGCTTAAGGCTATTTTGCGGCAGTAAGTGCAGGCTCGGAGATCCCCTACGGAAAGGGGAACCAGAGAGTGTAAGTGCACAGGAACAAATAGTACTCTGTTCCTACAGGATCAGAGTTGTGTAGTGGTGGGAAGAGAAGGATTTCCTGTTTCAAAACCTCTTTGCATGTTTAAGTCTAACACTCATATTCCCTTAAAGAGCAAAACCCGAGATAATTATACACTCGGAGAATTTCTCCAAGTCAAATGGTACATAACACATGGAGAGAGACAGGTTGCTGGGGCGGGAAGACAGAGCACATGTGCACACTGAAATCATGGTACAACAGCCAGTCAGATATGACATACCAGCTGGTATCTGGAAAGCATTACCTCCATCAGGAGATTAGCTAGAGTTTGATAATTGGTATTTGAAAGAGTTTCCATTACCCTCAATTAGAACATGTGGGTTATTACATTTTAAAACTACCATTACCAAGAGCAGCTTTTACTTGAGCACACTTTTTGTAGCAAACATCCTTGTTAAACAGTGGCCATATTTGTTTTGTCATCATGGACGTAATGTTGGTAAAAATAAGCAGGCATGGCATAATCCACCATTGTGGATGAAGAAATTGGTAGAATTAGGTCCTGCGATTCTTTTTGCTTATTTATAAGCCCACTAGAGACCTGTACAGCATTCCCTAGCAGATGGCGGAATCTAAAATGCAGTAGTCCAACAGACATAAGCATACAGAGAATATTCTGCTTCTCAAAAAATAAACTCTACCTGTGTAACCCATGAATTTTCCAGGGATTTCCTGATTACAACATCGACTACAGAATATCTGCCCACAAAGTCGACAGTGGTGCCTCCGCCGGAAGGTGGTGAATTTCTCACTGCAGTCATAGCATTCTTTGCACTGGCTGTCAGGCATCCAGTACTGCTTCAAGTCACTGTCCTACAAAGGAAGGCACCAGAGAAACACTTTTTTTTGCAAATAAAAAGGCATAGTTAGATTCATGACTGCTTTGTAGACTGTACACATGAAAAAGACAATTTCATATATTCTCATATGTGTATGTGTGCACACTCTTGCGTACAAGCACAGACGTGCACAGAAAGGATTTTTCATGTGGTTTTATAGGGAACCAGAAGGCTGAGAGAGTTCTTAACTGTTAGATTAAATCTAGTAAGTCTTTGTCTTCTTGATCCAAGATGGAAACAAAGCAAACAAAAACTACCATAAGCTGTAGATAAAGGTCAAGAAGAAACAAGCACATGAAGTACTGGTTGCTCTTCCCTCTCATTTGCCCCTAGCACATGACAGGCCCTCAACTAAGTCCACAAAAAAAAAAAAAAAAGAGGGGGCTGGAGCACCTCTCCTATGAGGACAGACTGAGAGAGGTGGGGTTGTTAAGCCTGGAGAAGGGAAGGCTCCGGGGGAACCGTATTGCGGCCTTCCAGTACTTAAAGGGGGCCTACAAGAGAGATGAGGGCAATCTTTTTAGCAGGGCCTGTTGCAGTAGGACAAGGGGTAACAGTTTTAAACCAAAAGGGGGGAGATTCAGACTAGATACAATGAAGAAATTTTTTACAGGGTGGTGAAACACTGGCACAGGCTGCCCAGAGAGGTGGTAGAAGCCCCATCCCTGGAAACATTCAAGGTCAGGTTGGACGGGGCTCTGAGCAACCTGATCCAGCTAAAGATATCCTGGCTCACTGCAGGGGCGTCAGGCTAGATGACCTTTAAAGGTCCCTTCCAACCCAAACTATTCTAGGATTCTAACTAGCACAGTTTAAAAAAAAAAAAAATAAATAAAAAACACCACACAAAACACCACACACCAAAACAAAACGAAACGAAAAAAACCCCACACGCTAGTTGAAG